AGGCTGAAGACCAGTGGTGGAAGATGCACTCAAATCTTATACTCAAGGACAAGTTGTGCATTCAAATTGTACTGAAGGGATTAACAGTACAAAAATACAAGCATTAAAGGTGGGGTAGGTAATTTTGGAGAAACCAGCTCGAGTGCGCTAGAATTTGAAAATACACAGCCGGAAAAAATCTGCCACTTCCTTACAGAGCCCCTCCTCCAACACACACGAACGCGCACATGACCAATGAGGGCACGAGATAAGTTTTTGCACAGATGGAAGGCTGACAGGCAGGTAGGCCATCCAGTCATTTTAGCCGGGCCGGCTAAAATGATTGGTCGTGCTTTTTACAATACTACGGCTTCCACAGATGACATTTTTTAATGTATTTATTGTCAAAGCACTTAAGATATTCATTGCTATCGGGATGTTAAGAGCATTCCATGGAATATAACAAAAAGTGTATCTCGAGCCGGTTTCTCAAACTTACCTACCCCACCTTTAAGCTATACAATAGTAGAACATTACTTAACAAGATTTGTTCATTGTCATTTTATACATCAAAATGTATGTTGCATTTTCATTATGCTCCAAGAAAGACAACCAAAAATATAGTACGAAGGCTGATTAATGTTGTGACTTATTTTTACTGTATGCTGCCCGGTTAGTTGTACATCCAAGTAAGGCATCAATAAGGTAAAATCCACACAAATATTATGTATTTAACCATGTAAATTACTTTGTAAAAGAAAATGGAATAACTCTAATGAAGTACAAGTACCTAAACATTTTATTTAAGAACAGTACTTGAGTGAATGGACTTATCTAGAAACACCAGTGCTAAAGAAAAGAGCTCAACAATAATCAGCATTTTTTTCCTACAAATGATGGCATGTCCCTATTAAACACACAGCGAATGGTGAGGTTTGGCACATCAAACATCCTAATAGCACACACTCCACAAACATTCCAATGTTAATGGAAAATGATTCATGATCTTTGCATACACATATGTATAGGTCACTTTTGCTTCCCCTTACCTTGCTTCTTCACTTCTCTCCTCTGGAAACACCAGGCCAGCCGGCCACTCTGATGCTCTCCGTACTTGGTAGGAAAGGTCCGTCATCGATGACCATAGGAGATGTTGCCCTGGTTACTGTTTCCGGCCCTGAGACTGCTAGCAATAGCACAACATTGGACATGGGCAACGGAGACATCCTGGTGACCGTTGATGCCATCCCTGAGGGGGAGTTTGTTGTCACTCTGGAAGGAACTGACAAAGTGTCCAACAGCAAATTTCAGAGGCAGTCCACCACCCAGATGTCCATCTCTAAAGTCAAAATCATGGTCTGTATTTTACCATCCTGTGTATACATACAACAAGCAAATGTTTTTATACAAAGTTAGATAAAGGCCTAAACGCACTGTAAGCACTTTTTTTTAATGTCACTTGTTTTCACCTGTTTTCTTCCCTCTAGGCTGTGGTAGACAGCAGTGTGAGGCCAGGGGAATCATTCGGGATCCCCATAAGCGTCCTGACCCAGGGCTCTGGTGGCAAATACAGCGTCAATGCCAGAAATGACAGAGGCTTCACCATGTCCCACCCAGACAGGTGAGTGCTTTTTTTTTCATATAATGTTTCTGACATTAGATTTATATTTAAGCCCTGTAGATGTCTTTGTTACAATGTTTTTTGTGCCATAATGATTGAGGTCTTTGACCATGACCGTTGAAATTGGGTGTTTGAAAGGAGGTCTATTTTATTTTTAAGCTACAGCCTTCTGTCCTCCTGCTTTAACTGATTTAGTTTTCTAGTACTTTGTCTAAATCAATTGTCTCTATATAAAAATCATTTGAATAGTTTTGCTGCTGAAGAACTCAGGGGGCGCTGTGCCCTGACAAAATAACGTTGCAGGTCCTCAAACCTGGAAATTAGTCAGCTGTTTTGAACAAAGTCAATGGTTTTTTAAAGGATTTTTTGGTGCGTGATATATGGTCTGTAGATTACACGAATTAAGAAATGTTCCCATGTTATGTTTTACGACTCTACACTTAACTTACTCACACTCTTACATAATAATCCTTTGCGACCACACTGCATTCTGAGAAAATACCAAATGAATCATATCATCATAGTGCTTGAGCTCCACTTCTGTGTGCCTTTATCGTGTGCATTGACTCAGTCTGTTGTGCCCTCCTTGTATAAAGCAGCGCAAGCAATGAGCTCAGGTACAAAAGGGCTGCATTCTGCAATTACCTTACAGATTGTATCCATCACTTGACAATAAACTGCCTCCTTGTTGGAATTTTGAGCATTATTCTAGTCTATTATCATTATAGATTTCTCACATTATTTAAATGTAATTAATGATCAATGCTTTGAACGTGAAATGTTCTTGATTTCAATCAAAATCATATGTGTGTGTGTGTTATTCTCAAATTGTTTTTCTCTCTTTTGACAGTATCATCTTGACAACTGGTGTATATACTAATACTAGTCTGACTATAAAACCACCTGCCGACACTCCATCAGGCACTGACGTCACTCTGACGGTGGAAGCCTTGTCGGACAGCGGCGTGGACTCCAATTACGTGGTTATGAGATTCTCTGTTCTAACCAAGGTAATACACAGTTGAAAAGAGTAGGAATAAAAAAAAATGTTTTAAACATGGCTACAAAGACTTTTTTCAGAGATTCAATTCTCCTCCATATCTTAATTGCACTTTGTTGTGATTCATAAATACATTTCCCATTTTTTTCCCCTTCGTTCTCTATCCAGATCACAGATTTCTTTCAGCCTGTGTGTAAATTGATGAGCGTGCTGGCTGATGCTTGCCCTCAAGATGTTTCTCAGTGTAAACCTTTCCAGTGGGAGCTTGCGGCCAACCTTACGGACGGAAACGGTACCGGGATAGAGAGCGTGGCCCTGCGGCAGGGCAGTGGAAACATCACCACCACCTCCCTGAGTGATCCCTTCATTCTGGCCAACTACACAGCCTCTTGCTGCTCTCAGATTGTCGAGATAGTGGCTGTAGATAAAGTTGGAAATGTGGGCAAGTGCTATCATTCCATTGTGCGTTCTGCAGGCCCTCCGGCTTTAACCATGTCTCTTACAATGTGGTTGGGCTTGCTGATCTCTGCCCTTGTTACAAGGTTTTAAAGGGCTTAAGTTAGGTTGTTTAATATCGGATGTACTCTGGGCAAACCATGTACAAATTATTAAAATAAACCTCCTTCCGGTGATGGTCATCTAGTGCTTTTATATTGTACTTTATTAAAAAGTGGGCATTGATTAGGAAAATGGATGATAAAGCTATACAAATGTGTCTGAAAATTAAATATTTAGGCATTTAAAACAGAAATGAGTTGTATTTCATGGTTTAATATTATCCTCGTGTTTGTAACATGTCAGCTTTGGGAACAAATATTGTATATGGTGATACAAAATATGAGCATTTCCCTTTTTAATTCGACCACATTTACCATTGGGAACATATCTGTGTACATTAATAATATATTTTAATATTTTTGTATCCAGATGTTCTTAGGAATTGATATAAATAAAAACTATTTCAAATTCAAATGCATAATTTCAATGATCCCTAGGATGATTATTAACACAAAATTGATTGTTTAAAAAAAAAAAAAAGGTGATTCACAATTGCAGGAAGTGATAGGTGACGGATAGCAGAATATGTATGTTTTTTCATGTGAATAAATTTTTTTCCAATTTATTTATGGGAATGTTTTCATCAATAGTAGTCTTAAAAAAAAAGGGTAAGAACCACTGCAGTGAATTGTATTCTAAAACCCATTTTACATTATGTAATAAACATTTATCAGTGGAAAAGGCTAATAAAAATGACATGGAGTTTCTCTGGTCGGCATAAAAGGGAAAGAATGATACAAAACAGTCATCCTGTTGTGGAAAAAAACAGATTTTATAAAACATTTTGAGTATAAATGAAAGTGATTGTGGAGAAATACCTGCATTAAATGTTTTAATTAAAATGTTCATTCATTATTCTAATTCACTTTCACTGGAAGAATGTGTTTCATGCGACTTTGAAGGAAAACAACCTCTTTAACCCTCCTGTTATCCTTGGGGTCAATTTGACCCCATTCAATGTTTAACGTATCTAAAAAAATGGTTCACATAATTTTTTTTGCTTAGTATTTCATGACTTTTCCTAATTTAGTGAGGACTAATGGGTAAACATAAAATGAACATGAAGATCTTTTTTAAATGTCCTGTACGCACTTTGTACGCATCAGTGTTCCTTGGGGTCAATTTGACCCCAGGCTGTTTTAGTAGTATAAAACATATACAAATGTCAATATCTTACACATATTTGTGTTGATCGTGTAGGATGATATTGAGGTGACTATTACATGCAAATGTATCATTGTAAAACAAAACTACCCTCTGCTTTAGCTATTGGTCCTTTAACAACATCAAAAGATCTTACTTTAACATTTTATTTCAGTCAGTGAGATTTTATGGTGATTTATATATTTTTCGATAGTCACATAATAGGAATTATGGATGTATAAAGGGGTGTGTAGGGGGGAAGGTTCGGGGTAATGTTTTATTTAAATGGTTATTTAGGTAGTCAACTAAGATACCTAAAGCACCAGAGACATACATTTTGGTTAAAATTTGGAATATGATCATTGTCTTGAGTTTTAAACTACTGGGGTCAAATTGAAAGGGTGTAAAGTAAATCTGAGGATAACAGGAGGGTTAAGACTTTTAATTGTATGGCCAACGTTCAGCCATAAGCCTTCCTATGCTAATATTTATTGACAAACAGCACATGTATTGTTTGTTCCTTGCCAAAATTAAGAATTAAAAGTTGGCCTACTTTTTTGTACCTATGGAAAAGTGAAAATGACCTAATGAATTGTGGATAAAGTATTTATTAATTCAACATGTTTTAAAATAAGTCGAACGATTTAAAAGAAAGAAGTTCCCACTGTAAAATTATACCATTGTCATGCATCGGCCATATTGATTTAAAAAGTCACATTTATTCAGACAAAGGGCATAGGAGCGGTTTAGTATGACACCTCTATATTTATTATCTGCTTTCTCAATGACAGAAAAGATAACAGACCAAGGAAATATACATAGTAATCAAATGAATTCAAACTAAAGGTTTAGAATTCTCAAAAAAAGTCTGGCCATTGTTGTCAGGGAGTTATTCAAGGGGTAGTATCCACTTTCAAAAAATTGAATGCAGGCAGAAAAATACATTTACAGAAGATATAACATGAAATCTGTCCCTTGTAAAATAAAACAGTGTGCGACACAATGGCAATATAAGAAAATCAAAAAAGGAGAATTCCGCAAAAATACGACATTAAATCTGTATTTTTTCGTAAACAATGTTTGAAACACTTGAAAGAAAAAGTTTTGTTTAGACTAATGGACACAGATAAATGCTTAAGTCGTGTTCCAGTGCTCTGATGTTTACAGAACATTTGAAAAAATAAATCGTTTCACCTCAAGAGAAATATGTGTGGTCATACCGAGCTGTATAATAACCATGGCCGTACATTCATTGTCTTTTTCAGGGATGGCTTCATTGGCTTCTTGTCCAGTGTGAAAAAAAAAAGGTTTGAAATGAAATGAAATTGTTGTCGTATGTGTTACATTATTGCCCAAGCAGTACAATGTTAACCCTCCTTGTATAAAGCAGCCGTCAAAATCAAGGCAATAAAAGAAAAAAACAATATAAAGAATCAAAATCTAGCAGATACAATACTTACAATTGCCTTTTTTTTTTTTTACAAAATGTTCACAAAGAAAATGGAAAACCAGTCCTTATGTAACAGTTCCGTCATTTCATGTTTGCTAGCAATTAAAATAAGACAAATAAATGAATAAATAATTTTTTTTTAAATCAAGTGATATTACAACATCAAGTGATTTGAACATATCTGCTGTGAGAATACTTACAATTAAGGTTTTTAAAAATGTTATATCCAGTTGCTTTTGCAGCAATGCTTATCTGGCTATTCTGAGCCACAATCCTTTGTACAGCGGATTCATGAATAAAGTATGTTATTTCGAATGCAGCCCCAATGTTTTAATGTGAGCTTGCAAGTATGGATGATATCACTTGTTCTTTCGCAAAATTGAAAGGAAATTATTTGTTGAAATATTTGTAACTAAACTCAAATTAACTCTTGTTAAGAATGTAAAAGAGCTTATCTCCTTAAATGAAGTGATATTGAAGCCTTCTTACAGCCAATAACATCCTCAGAGGAAAAGGGTGGCATATTGGATGTCCATCTCTCATGGGATTTTATGAACATTTTTGACATGCTTTTTCAGGTGGCCTGACTGCTTGAAACTCTTATCACAGTGAGGACAGGCATGTGGTTTCTCCCCTGTGTGAATATACTTATGCCTTTTCAGGTTATTGGAGTCTAGAAATCCTTTCCCACAGTATGAACACCAGTGTCTCTTCTCTCCATTATGCCACCTTAAATGCATATTAAGTTCTACCCTCCTTGCGAATTTCTTTTCACAGAGGTTGCAATGAAAAGTGTGCATCCGTAGGTGGGCTTCCACATCTCGTTTTGTGAAGAACCCTTTCTGGCAGATCTGGCAGACAAAAGGCTTGATTCTCCTGTGCACCATCTTGAGGTGTTTGGTGAGGCCGAAACTATAGACAAAGCCCTTCCCGCACTGTGGGCAGACATGGATCCTACCATTGCGGTGAACCCGTGCATGGCGTTTGAGACATTTCGAGTCTGGGAAGCCCTTCCCACAGAGCGTGCACGAGAAGGGTCGGTGCCCAGTGTGGAGACGAACATGGCTTTCTAGGGCTGCAACGCTGCTGAGGACACGGCCGCACTGCCCACACTGGTTCTTGAGCAGACGCCTACCAATGACTGATAAAGGCTGTAATGGTGACATAACAGTAGGTCCTCTGACAGGTATAGGGAAGAGAGAAACGCTTGGAGGGAAAACTAGCGGTTGATTCTGGGATTTGGGTGATTTTGTCTCTTTCTTCTCCCCAGCAGGAGGTGTTTTATTGGCTGATACTCTAGGAGGAGTCCAGATGGCTTTAGCTGTAATTTTTTTCGGAGTGTCACTATTCTCTGCTGACTGGCTTGTTTTAGCTCCATTCTGCAACTTGGATTGACTGGAACTTCTCATTTTGGCCATTGTTTTGGCTTTTGCTGCTTTAGCCAACTTCTTAGCATTCACCACTCTTAAATTATTTTTAGGACCAGTAACATCTGGACTTAATCTTTTTTTTTTTGCAGGAGTGGATTCCCTTGTCTTTCTAGGACTGACACAACCTTTAGCCAATTTAGGCCACCTAATACTTGGGGAACCAGGGTTCAACTTAACCTCTTTAGTACTAGCCTCGTCTGAAGTTATTCTATACCCAGGACTGAAGGAATTGGTTTCCCCTTGAATCTGTGCACTGGTAGTAGCATCTTTAGGTAAGGTACATTTTCTCCGGCAGAAAGAAGGCGACCCCTTGAAGATAATTTGAGGGCTAGTGCCAGTTTTACTTAAAGTAGTCCTCTTTGGGTCCACAGAAGTGGTTTCAGAACTTTTATTGCTAGCGCCATCTCTAGTTGAACTAATCCTCCCAGGACGCACAGAAATGCTGTCAGTCTTTTTTGAGCCAACACTTTCATTAGGTGAGCTACCCTTTATAGGACTTGCAGAAGTGGATCTTGTATTTTTAGGGGTAGGACTTTCTTTAATTGAGATAGATTTTCTAGGACTCAGGGAAGTGGATTTATCTGTTTTAGAGCTAGCACTTTGTTTACTTAAGCTAGACTTCCTAGGGCTGACAGAAGTTGATTTTCTGTTTTTAGGGCTAGCACTTTCTTTAATTGAGATAGATTTTCTAGGACCCATGGAAGTGGATTTATCCGTTTTAGAGCTAGTAAAGCTAGACATCCTAGGATACAGAGAAGTGGATCTTTTAGTTGTGGAGCCAACATCTACACCTGTAGACCGGCGAGTCAAAGGAGTGGACTCTCTAGTAGCCTTAAACCTCTTAGAACTGACCGGTGGATCACTAAAAGTCCTCTTGGATCCAACACTAGCTCCAGATTGTCCAGATCTCTTGGGAATAAAACGAACAGGGTGAACAGCTTTCCTGGCTGGAGATGTAACATCTTTAACCAATCCTGAGTCTTTTGGTATCAGGAAAATTGATTTTTTTGTTGTGTTTTCATTGGCTGGGCTGTCATTTTTTAATCTAGGATTTATAGGCCTTATAGCGCTGGTCTCTGTTTCTTTGCATGGATTAATTTTAGACCTTTGAGTTTGCAAGCGAGTTTTGAGATGACTTTGGAGCTTGTCCAAAATAGATTTGTTGTGGAACCTTTTCTTGTCACCAGTTATGGTGTCTTCAGAGGAAGCTGTGGCATCCATGGAGTCCTCAGAGGAAGCCTATAATAAAAAGGAAAGATAAAGAAAGAAATTTAGCAAAATGTTGCAAGAGTAGCCAAGAAATATATTAAGGTGCTCCCAAAACATCCAAGGCCATTGTGAGGAACATTTCAGGCCAGTGAATAAACACCAATGTTACCATTCACACCCAACATTTCACAAGTAATACAAGGGGCGTAGTTAGGAGCTTGAAACATTGGGGGCTTAGCCCAGCCCAGATTTGTCATGGGTGCTTGGAACATATTTGTCATTGACATACACAAATAAGGCGCCAAAAATGATCAAGGTTGTATCCATATATCGTTAAATTACTTGTTAATATAACAATGATTGAGGTCATATGATCAGATTGTACAGTAAGTCGATAAGGTAAAAATGATTGATGTGATTATCATATATTGCACAATGAGTAGATAACAGGAAAATGAATGAGATCATGACCATATGTCTGAAGACAGGTCAATAATTTAATTATTATGACAGACCGATGCCCAAACAATCAACACCATTACAGCCTGGTTAATTATTATTTCCCATGGAAGGCGTTCTTCCGAACATGTAGAATTAGTAATAGTACTTTATCCTTGAGACAATGGATTTGATAAACCGACAAACGAGTGATAACTCTTAACATACCTTTGTTGGGTCTTTCGTAACAGGTGTCACTGCCAGCTGTGCAAGGAACTGGGCTTTAGTCATCCATGAATGAGGAGTTGACATGTCCTCGGTGGCGATTGGAGTTAGATGCATGATGTCAGCCGATGATTTATTTTCTGTAGGTGTTGTATTGGGGGCCATTGTTGAGTTCTCAAAGTCTGGTCTTGACACCTCGGAAGGTGTTCTGCCTTCAGAGGATAATGATGCCTTCTCTTGAATACCTTTGGGCTTTTCTGCCATCTGAGAGATATTCACAGGCAGAACAACAGGAGTTTCTTTTAATCCGGGACATAACTCAGTGGATGACACAAGCGTCTTTGATGGCTGCGTTGACATAACCACAGATGATGGTTTCTCTTTTGTGATACCTTCTTTCAAGTTTTCAGAAGATCCATCTGTAGGCAGTCTAGAGACTTTCACTGCGTCTTTGGCTGATATTGGAAATGAGAGCCTGGTTAATCTGACCACGGCAGAGAGTTTCTGTGCAACAGTTTGCGTTATCACTGGAGGCACAGAGGTAGGCACTGGCCCCTCTGATGCGTTTAAACTGGGAATGTTTTCTGTAGGTGCTTTTATTAGCTCAGAAACGGAGTCTATTTGTTGGGGATATTCTAAAATAGGTTCCGATGTTTCACTCTTGTTTTGAAACAACACTTTGGTGTCTTCATCTGAAGCAATTTGTGGATTCACAGTAATCCTTAACTCCTGTGAAGGTGAAATCAAATCGGGCGATGACAGTGTAACAAGAGCATCTGATTTGGCTGTATCTTGCTTGGTTTTCGGAATGATGGTCTGTGAATGAAGCAGCCTTGACGCCACAGCTGACACTTCTCTTGGAATTATTATTGTGAATTGAGGTTGTTGTGTTGGCCCTGACAATGAGTCTTTTGCGGTTGTGGTTGACTGTGAAAGGTCAGCAGAAACCAATTTCACGGACGCAGCGTAGGAGGCTGGGAGGGAGATGGTGCTCCTATTTTAGGAGGTTTTAAGAAGGATAATGATCTTGGCATGGCAATTATTTTACGAGAGACTGACTTGATCGTTTTGCTGGTTGCTACTGATGTTACCGGAGAAGCAGAAGATTCCTGTTGAAGTGCCCGCATAATGCTTTGAACCGCAACATGTGTTAAGGGAATTGAAGATATAGTAGGTGTAGATGGAATTACTTTATGCTGTTGTTTTGGTAGGACAAAGTTGATGTTGGACTGAAGCTCATTGGTCGGAGTTATATCAGTATTCACAGGAGAGTCATTGTGTTTCTCTATTGTTGATTGGTCCTTTGTGGAGAGCTCTGTAACAGCCAGCTTGCATGCAGCTTTACATGTTTCAATAGGAAGCGGTGGTCTCTGTTGCTCTGCTGCGACCTCGTCCACAGTTTGTAGGATGCCCACATGAGAAGCACTCTGGGTCTTAGCTGGTGCTGCCATATCCACTGTTGACTGATTCATAGCTTCAACTAATAGCATTGCATCCTGAAGAGTTACAGAGCTACGACGTTCTCTGGGCTGATCTTCAGGAGGGTTTAATGTTTCAATTGAAGATAAAGATTCAGTGAATGGAGTTTGAATTGAGATTTTTTCATTTTCCATGGAGAGTTGTTGAGGTTTAGAGGTTTTACCCTTTCTAGAGGAACATCTTTTACCTACAGATGGTACTGAAAAAGTCGGAGAACCATTTTCCTTCATAGGCTGTTGCTGATTTTTGGCTTGCTTTGGCGGACGTCCTCTTCTACGTGGGCCTGGCAACTCAGGCTGGGAACTACCCTCAGCGTCGCCACTTTTTGATTCTTCAAATGCTTTTCCTTTATTGAGTTGTTTACGTGGTGCACGTATTCGTTTCCCTGTAGTTTTAGGAGTAACATCAGCCTGTTCATTTACTGTTGTTTTGCCCTCCTTTGGACATTGTAGGTTGACCACTAATGGTTGCTCTTTTTCAAGAGGTTCAACCTCTGATTCATTATGAGCAACCACCGATTGGGGCTTTCCAGTTTTTATGAGTTCTCCCTGCGTTGCTGATATGTTTTGACTTACTTCAGAATCTTCTTCTATGTTGTTGTTTATGGAAGCAAGTGAGAAGACTATTGAAGGCACCAATTCAGGCAATTGATTCTGAGCTCCTTCTAGACCACTATTACTTCCCAAACAGGGTTGTTCTTGGGCTACTGGGGTCTCTTCTTGGGGCGTGGGTATTTCTCCAGTTGAACTTTCCTGGTTAACGAGACGCCCTCCAATTTCAGTTGCACAAGCAGAGGCCTGGGGTGAATCTATCAGTGAAAGAGACATTTTAGAGGAAACATTAGAAGAATAAAGGGAGAATGGTAAGGAGCAAACCTTGACAAATTCTGTCAATCTTACAAACTATCAAACTAGTTGAGAAAATAACAGTTAGTTTTAACTCTTTACCTGGTTGATCACCTGAAACTTGCCCGCAGATCACCATTTGCTCCACTTCCTCTTGCTTAACGACGGAATGCGACTGAGAATCATAGGAATCCTGCGGCAGAGGAATTATTTTTTTAATTTCAACAAGACAACATAGATGGAAAAAAAACAGTATTGATTTTTTTTTTGAATACAAACACACCTCCTGTTTGACAACTATAGAGACCATTTGAGTAGTTCCCTCATAGTTGTGGTCATGCAGAGTGTTCTCAATCTCCTGATGATTCACAGGTGGACATTGCTCCACCAGCATCATTCGGGAAGGAACAATATCTGTACAAATAAACACACGGAAAATAGGACAATTCGTTATTTCTGTGGCTTATGTCCTGAAACTTTCAAAAAAAAGTAAAAATGTCAAAAAGTGTAACACTGACAAATCCCTAAATACTGATCCAACCTACTAAATTGTTTATGCTAAATGTCCCCTCCATCTGTGTTATGTACATGGTACTACATATTCTTAGATAGTTTGAGTTTTATGCTTGTAAGTAATAGTGTCACGTCAACAAATACCTTCGTACTATGTTGATGCCGAAATTCTGAAAAGGTGATGTGCCGGTTTCCGAAATGCTACTCCTTCTCCATAATGCCTGTAGTCAGGGCTCGGGATTAATTACCCTTTAAAATGGATTTATTTGTGTTTTTCGTTTTTGTGTTTTCCTTCATACCTACCATAATTTGGCACTTTATGCATTACAAGTCTTTACTTCTGACACATATTAGAGTATGCAACATAAAGAAAAACAAATGTTAAAGTGCACCTATCATGCTATGTTAAGGCGTATATTATGGGTCTCAGATATATACAAATATATAAAAACATGTCTATGATGTGTTTTGCTCAAAATACAAACAGATCATGCATTTTAGAAATCCCTCATATCCCTCTATTCCAGCCCTGTTAGAGAGAGAAAAAAGAGGAGGAGGAGGCGGAACTAATGCCTGATCAGAATTCTACCCGAGATAAAGTTAAAGTGCACCTATCATGCTATTTTTAGGCAATAGCATAGGTCTCAGATATATAAAAAACATGCCTATGAAGTGTTTTGCTCAAAATACCAAACAGATCACCCATTCTAGCCATGCCTCATATCCCTCTATTTCACTTCCTGTTTCAAAAGTGCTGATTTTGGGTATAAAGCTTGTGATAACAAATAAAAAAGGAGGGGGCTGAGCTCTTGCGGGACCCGGCAGCCACTGTCTAAACTAAATACTGCCGTGATGCAACACCATATCATGGATTATCAAGGATTATTTCTGAAACAGTATGGAGCTCAAAGGCTTTCTCTCTTGCCGTTTATACCACAAGGTGAGTTCCTTTTTATATATTGCTTCTTCACACACATGCTCTCTCCAGTAAGGTTAGCTCTGAGTGTTAGCGATGCTAATGTAAACACTGACCATATTACGTCCAAAACAGTCGGGCATTGCTTCTGATAGCAACTTTCTGTGGTGCCGTGGGTCCACATTTTCGATATTGCAACATATCGGACGCAAATCTGGATCAGCTCCGTTGTACCCCCGTTTTTAGAGATTTGGGTACGGAGGAAAAGAGAGAGGGTTTTATTTTCTGACGCTGCGTGAGTTCCCTGACACACCGGGGACACATATTTATGTATAAAAGACATAAAAAAGTGCATTTTGCATGATAGGACCCCTTTAGATTCTGCTGTGATAAAACACCATCCTGTTCTAAACCACATCAAGGATTATTTCTGAAACAGTATGGAGCTCAAATGATTTTTCTCTTGCGGGTTTATCACAAGGTGAGTTCCCTTTTTTATTTCCTGCTATTAAACACATGTGCTCTTCAGTACAGGTTAGCTCTGAGTGTTAGCGAGGCTTGCTAATGTAAACACAGACGAGATTACGTCCAAAACACGTCAGGCAATGTTTCTGATAGCAACTTTCTGTGGGTCCGCTGGTGTTTATCATTCAGCCCAAGTCAAACACTACTATTGTCTTTTGTGGTGACCTTTTCATGTTTTATCTAGAAATAGTTGTTTTAAACTGGCATTCCAGGGCAGGTCTTCATTACAAGTAGAAAGTGTTTGTGTTAGGTTCCTTGCTTAGTTTTTCTATAAAGATTGGGCTCTAAAATAGAAGAGAAACCATACAATGGTATCTTGGCTAACTGCTTTGACGCAGCGTTTTAAAGGGGACCTATCACGCAAAATGCACTTTTTGATGTCTTTTATACATAAATATGTGTCCCCGGTGTGTCGGGGAACTCACGCAGCGTCAGAAAATAAAACCCTTTCTCTTTTCCTCCGTACCCAAATCTTAAAAACGGGGGTACAACGAGCGGATACAGATTTGCTGCCGATATGACGTCAAATTGGCGGCGGACCCACAGAAAGTTGCTATCAGAAACAATGCCTGACGTGTTTTGGACGTAATCTCGTCTTTGTTTACATTAGCAAGCCTCGCTAACACTCAGAGCTAACCTGTACTGTAGAGCACATGTGTTTGAAAAGCAGGACATTTAAAAAAAGGAACTCACCTTGTGATAAACCCGCAAGACAAAAAGCATTTGAGCTCCATACTGTTTCAGAAATAATCCTTGATGTGGTTTAGAACAGGATGGCGTTTTATCACAGCAGAATTTAACTTTATCTCCGGTAGAATTCTAATCAGGCATTAGCTCCGCCTCCCCTTTTTCTTTTTTCAAGCTAAGGACCCAAGCAGCATGAGGAATGGGTGATCTGTTTGGTATTTTAAGCAAAAAACTTCACAGACATGTTTTGTATAGGTATGGCCCTACAATATATTTTTCCAATATCGCATAATAGGTCCACTTTAAATCAAGTTGTGTCATTATGATTTTAAACAGCACTGTTGATTTACTTTAAATATTAAATACAATACAAATTAATATTGAGTTATTACTTTAATGCCTCATGTTCTCTTGCCTACACAAACACATAACAATTGGCATGGTCAACCTTTTTAGACAAATGGCTACATAGTATGATCATATCCTACCTACTGTTACAACATTTTTAGGGACAATTAGCATTCTTTAGAATGTGTCATGTAGAGATTTTAATATCTTTCCATTACAACTAGGGATGCTCCGATCGCCAATTTTGGGGCCGATTGCCGGAATCAGTATCGGCCGATACCGATCGCCTATCCGATGGAGTGGGTGGGGGGCTATGGGGATCTTCCATTTAAAGTGATGTTTAAAACTCAGTTCAGTGTTTCCCCTACCATTGTCTTGGAGGGGCGCTGCGCCCCGCCAACGGAGCCCAGCGCCCCCCCTGAAATTCAAGGTGTTATATATAATTTTTTTTTTTTTAATTTGGAACCAAATTGCAAACTAAGTTTTTGTTGATTTGGGCATATTTCCTGGACAGGCTACTTTGTACAGACAAAGTTAATAATAACTGTAATATTCCAGTTATAAACGACATGAATCAAAGATGTGTTGCTGTATTTTAGTGGTAAAAAAATGCATTCATCATCATAATTATTCTATATATATATATATATAATTTACACAGTGCCGAACGCTGGCATTTCTCCTCCTACTTGAAAGACTACGGAGGGATAGGGTCTGCAAAATTAGTTTGTGTGTGTGTATATATGCTCTGAACGTTCCACTTCCTGCCTGCCCAACATTACCTTACGGCTGCGTTGCGTGAAAAATAGGATTCATCCTAATTTTCGGTTATGGGAGTATCTTTTTTATTTAGAGAGCACAATCTCAATGAAAGAATCTCGATGATCTTTAAGTGTCTTTAACGGAAAACATTCCTGCCCAGACTGTCTGCACTGATATATACTTTACAATAATATTGCCCTTTGTATGAGGTAAGATTAGTGCAAAATCTGCAAATATGTTTGATGATGAGAATGGGTTCATTAAAACCCATTTCTGCATATCAAAATATGGACTACTTTTCTGTGACCTCTTTCCATCCAATCAGGCTTAGTGTAGGCTATTATGTTAATGTACCTAACGGAGTTACCCCTACCATCCTATAAAAGTTGTCAAAATACACTTTTCGTAAAATGCCACAATATTTTTTATTCTTGAGATACAATTTTTTTGAGGGGTGAAGTTCTTTAACCGAAAGAGCTAGTTTGGCTGATTCAAAAAAGTTCAAGATCAAGATAAAAAAATATCTGATTAAAGCCAGCTATTAAGCTACGCTAATGTGAGCTAACATTAGCAGAGCTAATCTGGACATGTTTGTCTATACTCAGGGCTGGACTGGGACAGCAAATCGGCCCTGGCATTTAGACCCAGACCGGCCCAAATCCATAAAACAAACGAATAGTAGCGGTTCCTGACAAGAAGAATAACTCAGTATAATTTAAAAAAAACGCTATTATTATCCTTTTTTACGTACCAGGGGCAAACAAAACTAATACATACCACAAGTATGTGTAACTATCAATCATTAGAAATTAGACCTTCAAACCCTCTGACAAAGCGAACAGTGACGAGCACTAATAGGGGGGTCTGGGGGGGTATGCCCCCCACAGAAGAAAAGTTTTAAAAATAACCCCTTAAATGATGACTTCTAGTGAATTTAGGGGGGGGGGACCCTATAGTGCCCTGCCTCCCCTTTCTATGACAACACAATAGAGATAGGACCAGATGAGTCTACAGGATGAGTCGACGGCATCTTTTTATATACATTGACGCTTTCATTTAATTTTTCCATCCTTTTTTTAATCGCTGTAATTGTATTGCCTTTTTCATCTATACACACGACACCTATTGCACGTCTGTCCGTCCTGGGAGAGGGATCCCTCTCCTGTTGCTCTCACAGAGGTTTCTTCCTACTTTCCACTGTTAATTGTGGGGTCTGTTTTGGGGAGTTTTTCCTTGAGCGCTGCAAGGGTCTAAGGACAGAGGATGTCGTACCTGTACACACTGTGAAGCCCTCTGAGACAAATTGTAATTTGTGATATTGGGCTATATAAATAAAATGTGATTGATTGATTGACGCACGCAAGGGGCTATAGTGCAAGTCTTAGGCGGCTGGTTTCTCAGAACCTCACAGAGCACACAGAACTGAAGGACCACAGGTTTAACCAAAAATACTATCCACTGTCTTTATTTTTTTTCCTGAGAATAGGTTTGAAAGAGACAGATTTAAATTTACAAAGAGAGTTGAAGCAACATTTGACAGAAATCCCACATAAATTACAAAAGTACACAACTAGCAAGATATATATACTGTATATATATACTGTACACACAAAGTAACTTATATACTAGACTGAAATAACTAAAATGAATGCTTGTTGTGGAG